TCTTTTCAGCCTTACAGTGGTGGTGTTTTTTGGGGGTTTTTTTTTGTTTGTTTTTTTTTGGTGGGGGGCAGACAGGCAGGGCATGTGGGGAAGGTATATTTGAGAAGTTTGGCTGTGGGGATGGGAGATGAGGCAGTGTTTGTACCAGCAGAAAGGAGTTAACAGACATAGCATTTCCTTTCCCTGATGTGAGCTGCTTGCATAGATTGTTTCATCTGCTTCACATTACTTTAGAATAGAGGTGGAAGGAGAGAAGGAAAATGGGCAGTCAAATACTGCTTTTCTAAAAACCAGCTAATAAAGCCAAAAGAATAGATTAATTGTTGGAGATAGAATTAAGAGAAATTAGTTGTTTCAGTTGTCATAACTTGCCATTAAATGCGACTGTGATTTTTTTCCTAAAATGTCAATTTCTAAACTACCATGGCTTTTAACGCATTTTCCCACCCATCAAAACAAAAATCTCAACCCAAAATACCCCTAGTGTTACGTGGCACTTACGTACAAATGAAGTATTCTCATTTGGGCATACAGTTGCAAATCAGAGTCAAATGTGTGATGTTAGATTATGGCAATCTGAAACTGTTCAAAGTGGGCTCTGTCTAAATATTACTTTTGATTATTAAGCCATATATTTTCACTATAGTGTCTGCAGGACATAAATATGAAACTTTGTCTGCTTTTGCAAATATTGAGTATGAGAAGAAACCGTTGTCATATATGCATCCTTTACACTTAATGTGGTTTCTTCCACCTTCCACATATGTTTTGCTTCTCCCTTAATGGGTTGGCCACATACACTTGTGAATGAATGTTATCATGCTATTTTTTGTTGCTTTGGCTGTGAAATCCACTGAAAGAAAACAGGAAGGAAATGATGTTTTTATGCAAATATTCCACTGCTGTGCATACAGCCCTTTAAGGGAGGGAGGAGGGGGAAGGAACTTGTTCTGACAAGTCAAGACTTGTTTTTGTTTTATGGATTGTGTGATGGAAACCCACAGTTACCTGCTGCTAAAAGCTGAACTGTAAGCAACATAGTAATAATAACTTTAAATTGCCAAAATGTGTGCTATGTTACTGTTGCATTTATTTAATACCATTATATGTTTTCTCATAGAAGTTATCCATTTGTATATAGATATTTCTCAAGTATTTGTCCTGTACATATAAATTTCTAGTTTGGGAAAAAGTTGAGTTATTTTCATAGGTTTGTATGAAAGCTTCTTGATTTAAACATGCTCAATAAAGGAATTGTCTGTTTTATAAGAGGAAATTAAAGTTTAAAAAAAAAAGGAAAAACAAAGTTGGAGGGGGGGCAGGAGTTGAACAGCTGTAGCAGTAGAGTCCTTGTAAGTAAGTGTAAGACCTTGTGTGCACATGTGTGTGTGGTTTTAATTAGTGGAAATACTTGAGGCTTCCTGCTAACCCAAGTTTATATTCCCAGTATTTGTTTCTAAACTGTGAAATGCAGAGAGATAAGCTGTGCTTTCTTCTGAAGACATGTTAACTGGTTTAGCTGCCCTCATGTCCATTTCTCAGGTAAAATTAGAAATAGAGCACAAATGCATTTGGTAGGCTATGGACAATCTCTCAGCTGAAGGGCAGAAGGATTAACTATTTATACAAAATATGCATATCAGCATCTCTAAGCCAATCATTTGGGTCACGTTGGATGTTCACAGTGAAGAATGCAAGGCTGAATTGAGAGTCCAAGGTATGGTCTCTTCTGTAAGCAAAAAGATGCAGACGTACCTCCATTTGTATTTCATAATTCAGTTCTTGAAAAGTACATTTTTATTTTTGTTAATGACGCATCATTTTGCTGGAGGCACTTCTGCCAAATATAAAATCAGTGCCTCTTGCATGTAGTGGGATCAGCCTGATGAATCCCATTAGGTATAATTTGCAATGCCATCCTGCTTGTATAATTTAAAGTAGAACCCCGCAGAAGTGTAAATAGAGATAGCATATTGAAGTTCTAAATAACACTTGTGTTTTGAATTCAGAAACAGTCACTGGATATAAGATGCAAGCTTTTTATTTGATTTTTCTTTAATATATAGTTAAGGCAAAACTGTCTTATAAAGTATTCTTAAGTTTTGTAGACAAAGCGTAAATGTTACTGTATATGTGCTAATTGTGGCAAAGTTTTACATTCTCATTCTAGTCTGGTTTTTACGATAAAGTTAATTTTACAAAAAACACTTTTCTATTTTTATGTACTGACATATGCAATAAATTGATACATTAAAAGTGCTGTTAACGTCTTGTTCTAGTCTGTGGCCTTTCTTCAGTGTGTGTAAAGGGGTAGTTCTGTGTGCATGGTAACAAATCAATGCCAAGGTATTGTTTTCAGTTTCTAAAGCCAGAGCACATGGACTAGACATCTGCATTATTAGTTGTGGCATTTGTGGAAAACTATTATGCCAGGGAAAAAGTATTTTGTAAATATATGTTTCTAAGCTTTGTCATGTATCCTCACTTTCAGGAAGTGATAGTAAGTAAAACTGGTATGCAGTAGCTCTCCACTGCTTTCTAACAGTTTGCATTTCAAAATTTCTCTGTTTTCTAGGGGACTGAGAGATGGTCTAAATATGATGTCCATTAGGAAGTATTTTTAAGTGTTCTTGACTAGTTTTACCACCTGATGCTGGCAGAATTTCAAATGTCAATTTTAAATCCTATAATGCCACTCTAGCAGGTTTATAGTTAATTCGTGCAGCTGCAGTGGGATATTGAAGCAATTTTGACTTTCTTAGAGAGAAATATATAACTAAGCTTGTAGCACCTCTGCTGCTGTTCTGCATAGTTTATATGAAATACCCAGAAAATAAGGATTCTTTTCTAAAGCTGCAAAATGTTTGTTCTCTCCTGGATTACTGCAAGGCTTATAGTTAATTTTTAACCCACTACCTAGAAAACAGGTATGTGTGGGGGTGCATAAGTGTGATAAATTTGGACAGTCTGTTCAAGATACTTGTTAATTTTGAATGAAAAAAACAGATATTTCTGATTTTTGTAAAGGAAGAAATGAAAGTGCAGGAGCAACTCAGATTGGAGTAGTCCATGTGAATACTTCCCTTCTTGAATGAGAAGCAGATTGCTGTCATTGACATTGTGAACTGTGTCACTAAAACTTACCTACACAGTGCTACTCTGGAGAACACAAGTCTTGCATTTGCTTTTTCTTGCTTGAAAATTGATAAGCAGCTGGACTACAAAGTGCAACATAAGCTGTGTCCTGGAATGTCTCATGATGTTATATTCATTTGCTTAAGAGATAGGTATAGACTTCATATCAGAAGGTAAAACACAATATTTCAAATTTTCTCAGAATTTGCAAGTACAAGTTAAATCACAGTAAGCATTCATAAAGGCATATGAACATCTAAACTAAAATGAGAACAGCCCTGCTGAGAAGGACTTGAGGGTGTCCGTATATGAGAGGATGGACATGAACCAGCAGTATGCACTTGCAGCTCAGACAGCCAATTGTATCCTGGGCTGCGTCACAAGCAGCGGGACCAGCAGGTCGAGGGAGGTGATTCTACCCCTCTACTTTGCTCTTGTGAGACCCCACGTGGAATGCTGTGTCCAGCTCTTGATTCCTCAGCACAGGAAGGACATCGAGCTGTCAAAGTGAGTTCAGAGGAGGGCCACCAAGTTGATTAGAAGGATGGAGCACCTCTCCTATGAGGAAATGATGAGAGAATTAGGTTTGTCCAGCCTTGAAAAGAGAAGGCTCTGGAGTGACCTAATTGTGGCCTTCCAGTACCTGAAGGGAGCCAAAAAGAAAGATAGAGGGGGACTTATAAGAGCATCTAGTGATAGGACAAGGGGGAATGGCTTAAAATTGAAACAGAGTAGGTTTAGATTAGATATTAGGATGAAGTTCTTTGCTGTGAGGGTGGTGAGGAACTGGAACAGATTAACCAGAGAAGTTGTTCCATTCCTGGAAGTGTTCAAGGCCAGGGTGGATGAAGCTCTGAGCAACCTGATCTAGTGAGTGGTGGCCCTGCCCATGGCAAGGGGATTGGAACCAGATGATCTTTAAAGGCCTTTCCAACTGGGCCATTCTATGATTCTATGAAATAAAACCTAAACCAAAGGCAGGGGCCTTGCTGTCTGTTAAAAAGATCAAGTACAGGTAGATAAAGTTTAGAGAAAATACTGAACCATTGGCTAAACAAAAATTATTTGCTCCAAAGATATTGAACATGCCTGAGCTTTAAATCTTTTGTTGGACCCTATTCAGGGTCTTCATTTTAGACTTTGTACAGAGTTCTGTCTCTGTAAGTAGATAAGGAAGATACACTGATTACTTTCTGGAATTGTTTTGAAAACATTGATGTGATTAATTTGTTATACTTCAGCTTGGATGAAGACAGAATAACTCTCGTAAGTCTTGGAAAAACAGCAATTTTTCTTTCTCTGAAAGCAATACAGCTAAAGAGCAGACTTGGTTTTATTGTGTTACAGAACATGGTTTCACTCCTAATTGGAGATACATATGTAATAATCTGAAGCAATGAGCTGAATAATGCAAAACTACAAGGTGGCTGTATGTTCACATACCAGGTTTAGAGAGCTGTTGCCTCTAGTTTTGACAAGCAACTAAGGAACAGATTTTGCTCCTTGAAGACAGAAAGAAAGGAAGTTCTACAGCTGGTTTGCGTTACACTTAATGTCTGGTGTGGGCTAATTATGTACAAAAATTCAAAGGGAAAGGTCAGACAGAAAACCCTTTCCTTTCTGTCCTTTAGGACTCAGGAACAGCATAGCAATCAGATATAGCTATGAAGAAATAATGTTATAATTTGAAAATACTTGGATCCTTGTCCTGTTCCCTCTATTGAAGGTCTCCAGACTGTAGCAGCAGCAGAGTGGCCACTCCCACATGAAAGGCCATGGGTCTGTGTTTATTTCGTTACCATACAAATGCATTTGTAGCCCATCTGTGCAAAATCGGTGAAGTTGCATAGTGTCAAAGAGGTGGAGAAATGCAGTACTCGGTGCTGCTGGATAGCAAAGCCAGTGAGACTGTAAGAGAAGTGAGCTACAGCTGTATGACAGAGCTTGTTTTTCCCTGAGCAGTAAGAAGGAATTGCTATAACATCATGGGGTTGGAGGGGTGGAAGGGAAGGAGGCTGTAATTAAGCTGCTGTAGTATATAAATCATGTGTTTTCTTTTTATATTTTATATGGTTTTAAAATTATTTTCTATGTCTTGTTGGCTCTTCTGCATACTTTGAAAGACACCTATAATAATTGCTTTTCCTTCCTGTGTCATTTCCTATTCTCTTTGAAAACACTGTAATAACCATGTGAAAAGTGACAATGACTGCAAGTCAGCTGTAGGTTTACTATGTGTAGTATGCATACCAGATTTGGACCCAAATTTTCTAGATGCCTAGAGAAATAAGATCTTGCGAGGAATAAATCAAGGCTGGCATATCTAAAATGTGCAGAGACAATTGTGTTGTCCTAGGCAATTTTGAAATTGTGAGGCAAAGACAAAAAAATACACTTTTTGCTTCAGAAAAATCTCAGAGCATTTTTTTTCCTTTTAACAAATTTATCAAATAAGGCTTTAACTGTTTGTATAAAACATACTTTACTTGCAAGGTAGTCAACAGCTTCCTGGAAGTTAAAATAATAGGATGTAAGATACACAGCCACAGGAGTGGAGTATCCAAAAATAGAGTGCTTTTTGGATCCATATGAGGCAGAACTTGCCTGGATTTACTACAATGTAAATTGTAGTTGGTGAAAGAATGAAAGCACTAATTAAGTGTCCTTGAAGGGAATGCGTACTGTTTCAGAGGGATATCTATGAATGTTCTTAATAGAGATCTTTGTAATAGCAGAAAACTGTAATACATGATTTATTCTGATCTCCCCCAAAACAGTCCTCCTATTTTGTCCATCTTCAGAAAGAACTTGAAACTAAATGTGCTTCAGATGGAACCCTTGCTTATTCTTTGCTCCTCTGTCTGTTCTGCACTGTCTTGTGTAGCAAGGCAAGATGTTGTGGTCTTTTTATTGTAATTACTGCAGGGACCATTTTGTGGCTACTTCAGAAGTATATGAGGCTGGACCCTTCCCACTGGAGGCGTACTTTTAGTGCAGCCTTTGACATTTGCCTGGATCTCTGGGTTGCAGCATCTGCACAACCTCCTTTTTAAAATAAGAACATTTGTTTTTAAGTAAACTTTCATGTTTCTTCAGTAAATTGGGTTTTTACTCAAGCCCTTATATTAATATCATCTGCTTCTCTTTTGTACATTAAACTTCATCATGGGATTTTCCTCCCTCACAACGAAGATGCTTTTGTGATTAAAGTACGTTGCTGGATTTCAGGAAATCAATAATTCAGTTTGTGGTTCAACCACAAATTTCCTGTGTGATTGGTTGCTATCTCTGCCTTGGTTCCCCACAGATGTAGTGCTGATCTTTTATAAATTTTCAGGTTACCAGGACCCATCTTGATCATTTCATTTGATACTCTGCATAACAGAATGAAAAAAAAATAATTGCTTCCATAAAGTTAAAAGATGTTTTTCTGCTGTAATATCTTGGAAAGTTTAACCAGCCTTAATTTCCCTGGGTTGTAGTGAAATATTCTTACCTGTTAGACTCTTCAGTGGCAATGTGTTGGGTTTTCTTTTTTATTTATTTATTATTTTGAGTTTTACCCAGAAGTTTGCTCTTTTTCTCAAAAGTAAAAGACTTGATTAAGTAGAACTCTTAGACTAGCCAAGACATTTCTTAATAGTTTTCCTTAGCTAAATTAATGAGGTCTCTTAGTCAGTCAGCCTAAGTGTTCAGCATAGCTCATCCTTTCAGTTAAGGAGGCACTGTGGTTGGATTCACTATGTGTCCATGGATCATGTACTGTGCATCCAAAATAGGACCATATTTTCAGAATATTTTTATTGTAAGGGTTTATTCTTATTTGCTTGCAGAGATAGATGGGTTTCTCCAGTTTAATGCAGTGACATTTTCTTTTCTAGAAATAGTTTGGAAAATGCTGCTTTGAACTGGTCTTGAGGCAGGCCCTAAGGTTTTTCTGAATGCATGTGTGTCTTGAGTCAAAAACTGTTAATATGGTACAAACTTATGCAAAAGGATTTTCAGGAGAGCTGGCCAGTAGAAGCAGGCTGCTAACCACAAACTGAATGCCCTTTCCATTATGAGTTCTTCAGGCCTCCTATATTCATTTGGGTTTTTTGTTGCGAACCCTTTTCACTGTTCAGTGTTTTCAGCCTTACCTATATGTAAATAGTTTTGTCAGTATAAAAGCATTATACTGCCTCTTTTTTTTGCTTATTATTTTGCCCCAGAATATATTTCCAAATAGTACACCTCTGTTTCAATAAGAATATTCCACTGAGAGCTTGTGTTCAGCTGAAGTCAACACCCTCCCATGTCTCCTAATGGGAGGCTAATCTGAGCACTCCTTAGTCCTCTAAGTCATATCTTAGTTTAAAACACAGCAAAAATGGCACATACGGTAATCTTACTCACTTGGTTTAAGCAGGCTAAGGACTACTTTGCAGCTCTACCAACAAGAGGAATCAAAAGGAGAGTATGTTATGACAAAACATAATGACAAGCATTGAGCACTGATTCTTCTAGGCTCTGCAACTAGCGGTTTAGGGTTTGGTTTTTTGTTGGTTTTTTTTAAGTCATTTTTGTGATTTACTTTAATGCAATTATCATCTACAACTAACTGAAGCTTCATTCAAGTATATTAAAACAGAAGTTGTTCAACTTAGTTTATTTCTAGGCAGTTCATGTTGTTTTTCATTATTGATCCCTTACTGCCATTATTTATTGTTCCACTATGATTTTGTCATCACAGAAGTTGTCAGAAGTTACGTTTTCTTTCAAATCACATAACTGTTTATGAATCTACAGAACAATACAAGGTTGCCAACAAAGTGATCCCTTTGCTGCTCAACTACAATATCTACCGAATTTAACAATTTGCCATATGTGGACTATTGTGATTTTCCTCATCTCCCCTTTGAAATTCTCGTTGATCAAAATGATAAGCAAGATGAAGCCAGATGTCTTACAGAAGTCCTCTGTGTCACCACAATTATTTTGTCAGCCCAAATAATGACCCCATTTAAAGAAGGTGTGGAGGCTGGGAACAGCCTATTTTCTCTAGAAGTGAGTAGAGTGCTGCTATTTATGTATCTGTCTGTTATTTTCTGATATGTTAATGACTGCAGAGACCTCACTGGCCATTTGTTTCTCAGTATTCCTGAATAGCTAGTTATAACTTTCATTCTCTCAGTTTCATTTTCTAAAATAGCACATCTTTTCCAACTCTCATATTTCTTTTTTTTATTTTTGGAACAGTCAATACTAGGCTGGTAATGTTTTGATGGCTAGGGATGCTTCAAGGCATGTCTGCTTAGTTCTAATAAGTGCTTATTCCGTTAAAAAACAACTGTTAGTTCATCTTAAATTTCTTTCAAAATGCGGCCCACTTACACCTTAATTTAGCCTTGAAAATAGGCACAGAATGGTATGGTATTCTGCTTATTCCACCCTGCACTGATTTCTTTATACTTTGTCTCAGTATGTAGATGGCTTCTAAGAGCACACTAAGATACATTGTATATTTTTTTCCTCTGCATTTAGGAACAGATTTACTCATCTGTGCAGGATAAGCGTGGTTGCTATAGGTGGCAAAATAAGGAAAAGAGTGCCCTGCATCGCAATGGAAGATGATAAAGCTTATAATCATCCTAAATTTCTCATAACCTTAAGAAACAGAAATAGGAGAGGCTACAGAAGTTGTTTCTGTATTGTTCCTTCTTCCTTCTCCTTCCCAACAGAATTAACTTGATCTGAACTACTCTGGTAGGTGTTGCTATTAGGATTCACTACAGAGTGTTTGGACTGACCTGTAGAAGTTCTCTCTTTTGTGCAGATAAACTTTACTCACATGGTAACAGGTTGACCTGTTGATTTTAGCCCTAATTGTGATGCTGTTTGATCTTTTTTTTCTGTCTCGGAACACTGGAACTTTTAACAAAGGGGTAAAAGTTGAATTTTGTGTGAGAAGAAAATACGTAAAGCATATAAACATGTTTGGGATATTTAGGTACCCTTGCTGCTGCAGAAAAGAAAGGAATTCCTAATGCAGGGTTTTAAGAGGAAAGGACTTGTAAAATCTTAAAACTATGAACTTAGACCAGACACTCAGGATTCATCTGAAAAATGTTAGCATGCATGTTTAAAGTTTTAGTCTGTGTTTCATTTTTAAATTTTCTAAATATCATTTTTTCTACAGCTCTCTGCTCTTTCCCTCCATTCTTATTTCCCATCTCTTATTCTTTTCCATCATCTCGTTTTCACCTCTTCTAGTTCCCTCCTGCCAAGTTTCCTCTCCCTGCTTCTCTGTGTCTCCTTTTGCATTAATCCAGGTCCTTGAATTCTGTAGAGAAACTGTATTTATTAGATAAGTTTAATAAAATATCATCCCTTTTCAAGTTAGTTATATGAACTGAACTGCAGAATCTGCAGCTACATACAGTTGAGAGATCAGTAATTGATGACTCATACCTGGGAATATTTTTCACTATTGTGTTTTGGAAACCACAAAAAAATTTTTTTAATAATTTTTCTCCTCTGTAGGCATATTGGCACTTTAGATATGAATATATATATGGTAATATATGTGATATAATGTATATACACAGTAAATCTTCGTGCACACAGAGGCACATGCCTGTAATACGTGTATGCCTTTTAAGTAGAACTGGATGATATGCTGCCAGGAAACTTTATATAGTTTCTGCATTTGTAGATAAGGCTCTAAAATTACCAGTGGTACTGGCTGTGCCTAAATTTAAAGATTATGGGAAATGGTTATAGCAAGCTGCCACATAAATAAATAATTGAAAGTGAAAGGAGGAAGGTAGATTCATGAGAAAGTATTCCTTTCCAAAATGCAGCGCAGAGAGATGAAAACAAATTGAAGACTGAATCTTAGATGTTCACTCTGTACATTAAGTTTAATGGTGCTATCGACAGCTTCATATGACAGGAAATGATCTGGGCGTTTTGTTCACTTATTCTGGATGCCCTTAGTTTCAGAGAGCAACTGGTAACATGGATTGCACCTCGGAAGGGGACAGCTGAACTCTCCCTCTGGCTTTAGTAAGGAAAAAGCAGCGATGAAATCCGTGGACTATGTGCACGTCATCCAACAGAAGGATACCGCCTCCTCTCCTTCTGCCCCCCCTGGTGCTGTTTCAGGCACCACAGGACTTTTTTCTGTCACATTCCTGTGGCTCGCAATGCTCCTGTCCTCTTGTCTTGCAGTAGTGTCTCTTTACCATGTTATCACCCTGAAAACAGAACTAGAAGCTCTGCGCAGTGAGTTGATCTACAGGCTCCAGGCAAGGTCTCCGCTAGACCAGCCACCCGTGTCCCCTGAGGAAAATAAAGCAGGTACCCCTGTTTCTTCCTTCCTGCAAGTGTCTGCAGCTGGCACCAGGCAGGTAAGCTGGAGGGGTGGTTTCTAGCTTGCAGGGGATGAATAAATGAGGGGCTGTTTCAATGACTGTTGCTTCTCCTTGCTAGGATAACAGGCTTCCTGATAGCTTGCAAAAGGAAATCTGGAATGGAAGTAGAAACAGGGGCAGACGGTCTGTTGTCCACACAGAAGAAAAAGGTAAATAGCATCTGGTGGAATGGGTTGGGATGCCACAGTTGGATACTGTTTTGAGAAAAGCAGCAGTGTCTTCTCCTGTCAGTATCCATGCTCCCAGAGCCCATTCTGACTTTCAAAATTATTGCTGAATGAATGGATTTAACAATAGGCATATTCATTTAATGGTTACCATATAGAAGAACAGAATGTTTTGAGTTGGAACGGACCTTTAAAGGCCATCTAGTCCAACCCCTCTGCAATGATTTGGGACATACTGTTTAAGGTACTGGTATTCATGCTATCTGCATTTCAATTGTTCAGTTCTCTCTGATCAATAGTAGGGAGGGAAATCTATTATTAAAAATGCCAACTCACTTTTCTGGGAAACATGCTCATCCTAAAAGAGAGAAGTAATGAGAAATTTAGGGAAGTAGGAGCTTTCAAAGAGAAAGATTGGCTTGTACCTGACAAAAGAGACAGACTACAAGGAATTCAGAAGTTTAGCATTATTTCTACATTAAATCAACCTATTAATATAATTAGAAAAATGAATAAAAGAATGCCTATACAGTAAGATTTTTTTTCTCTCGTGGCCTTTATAAAAGTTTCTGCAGAGAACACTGAAGACTGTGCTCCATAAAAGACCTCTGATGTGTATTATAATGTTGACATATTAATGGGATGTATTTGTTTCCTTTAGGGATAAAATGTCTTCCTTTTTTTTATTTTTCCAAACACAATGATGCCTTATAGGATGAAATGCAGAATTTTATTGTAACAGTCTGCACACATACTCTAACTGCACTGAGTAACTAAAAATATTCCTGAGTTGCTAAAACAATTCACTCCTATTATGTATAATTTTTTTATTGTTTTAACTGATGAAAGCTAATATCTTAAGTTATTAAGAGATGACGTTGAAATGGAGTGATTTGTAGGCAAAGACTAAATGAAATTTAAGTTCTAGGGTATGATCACTCTACTTACTTCCAATATTCTCAAAAGAGAACATTCATTTAGGACATCACCTAAAACCCACACGTTTATATGGGATTTTTTCTACTTCATTAGTAATCTTTTGTTCAGGGCCTTGGCTAAGACAGATTTCGCAAACTGGACTGAGGACATGATTGCTTAAATTGTATTTCTTGTAGCTTGCTTCCTTTCATGGGAACCACAGAGTTTCCCTGTTCTCCCCACCCTAGCAACTCCCAAAAAAAAAAAAGTGATCTAAATTACAAGTATCATAAGAAACAAAGAGACGTCTTTTTTAAAATGAATGTTATAGCATCAGTACTGTGCAAGTGATCCAGTTTCCTTCACAATAGCTTTCACCTTTAATCTTATTGCTATTTGAGGGTGTAGGTGGGTGAAGAGGGTTTGGGGCTCCTCGGCTGCACTTCTAAGTAGACTTAAGATTTTTCTCATCATGTAGCCACCTTTGATTATACCTATTTACCTTTATTCACATAAAATTATAATTAAGCTACTTATTTTTGTAAGCTTTTTTTTATGATGGCTTTACAATTGTTTAGAATGGATGACAGAAAGCACAGAATATGAACATCCATTTAAAAGGGAAAAGCTACATAGTTTGATCTACTACAAAACTGTTTTCTAACATGAACCTTATATTTTTGTATATAAAAAAGAAAAAATAAATTGCAAATCTTGCATTTATATCAAAGGTAATCTGTTAGGGTTACCTTTATGCCTACTCTAATTACAACAAATTTATCTTTGTCAGAGTTCAGTAAGATGTTAAATTTTCTCAGATCAGATTTCACTGATGACCATGAACCTATTAGTCAATGTTAAATTTTGCCTTAGCAGAGTGAGTTAAATAAGAGAACATGGTGTTGTTCATGGTGCTGAATCCAGTCTATTGCTTGGTCATGTAAACAGAACTACTGGCCCTGCATTTTGATCTTTTGACATCCATATCTGAGTACTGGAATCCCAGCAGCCTCGAAATTGTCCTGCAGATGTGCGGCGCTCATAAATTAAGGTGTTGAGAGAGATGCCTGTTCTTGTCCCATTTCTGTTTGCTTCAACGAGGTCTCAGAGTAGAGTCTGGTCCCATAATTAATTGTCGACCCATCATTTTACTTTTACACAGAACAATTCCTTAGAAAGATAATATCTGAAAACATTGCTGATATACAATTTCTTCTCTTGTGCTTAAACAGAGAGCAGAAGTAAAATACAGGACTATTATTTTGTTTATAAATAAAGTTGTGATTCAATTATGTTTTCTTTCTAGACTTTAATTATTAAATTCCAGGAATGGATACCCCACTATTTTTTTAGGCTCAGCACAGCCCTTCTTGAACATATGGAATTACTATTTTAATTTTTTTCTACTTTTTGATGTTGTGTGCATAAAAGCGGTCATAAATTAGCATTTTCATTAAAACGACAATTGAATGAAAGTGGATCTAACCCAATCTTGTTCTTTCATGTTTTTATAGGGTAGGCATTTGTGTGTATTCATGCATGAAACCATTAGCCATCCGTAGTTACACATTTTGTGCCTTGAGAAAATTTCCAGCTCAAGTAAGTTAGAGAGAAGGGTTTCAAGCATCAATTCCAAATAAAGCTGCACAGTTAGCAGTCAGAACCAGAGTGCTTGATACAATGAGTAGGAGTTAATGGGTAATTTTGAAAGGTATATATTATTAATATGCAGTCAGATAGACCTTTTAACCAATTCTGGCAAATATCAGGACACATTAAAAACAGATATAATTTTTCTTTTTTATTGTTTTTCTTTGTCAATTCTGCCTGTAGAGGAAAATCATTGCACAACAAAACCTCTCCTGAATTTTATACCCTATTCACAATTATTGATTGCCTTGCTTGTATGTTTCTCTCTAAGCTGCATGTGCACTTGAGTCCAGGAAAAAGATACAGGTTCCATTGCCTAAGCCACTTCAGTGTACGAACGTAAAGTTTCATTTACACACTCCCTCAGTGCCTCATTCTGGTCATTATTGTGAGATTCCAATTCCTGTGGCCTAGGGAGGTGAGAATAAGGTCTCCTGTAAGATCAAATGCAGGTGATCAGATTGGAGCCCCCGTGGACCACATTTACTTTGGTGTATTGAGGTTGCCCATCTCAACAGTCTCATTGCGTAGATGCAAAGAGCTGAGAAGCAATTCTATGTAATTCCACAAAACAGTGAGGCAGGTTAACCTGGCATGTGTCTTGGCTCTATTTTTTTTTTTTTTACTACCAATTCCCAGATTCTACTCCAATATCAGTTGTAACCAGGGGAAATAACTATTGCCTTGCAAGCATGGTGTATAAGTTGTGAGAATTTTGCCATTGTTCTTGATATAACTGCTGTACATTTGGTACATTTGTTGATTAGAAGTGTTTTGACTCTGTACGTTGTTGCTTTAGATATCTGTGACAGAGGGATAGCAAGAACTTATACAAGTAGTACTTGACTTTAGTGATCTTTGAAGTGAGACGTAACCTTTCGTTACTAGCCTAAAAAAATGCCACAGATAAAATTCCCTTACCAAATATTCACAATACTTCTTATTTTATTGTTTGAAGAGAGGAAATATAAAAGTTCTCTTAAAAAAAAAAAAGAAAGGCCTACTTCTTGAAAATATATGTTATTCTTATTTGTTTCTGCTGACAACAGTCTAATTCAAAAGGAAGTAGACCCTTCTATGCAAAAGGGTATAAAATTACTCGATGCAATGCCTGCAGTTTTACATGAAGAATTTCACTGAATGAATGACTGAATGAATCAGTGCTGTGTATAATGCAGAACACTGTGCAATCAAAAATACATAAAATAGACTCTTAATTTTTAAAAACAATATTCTGCTTTGCACTGTATAATAGAAGTCTACATAAAGTATTCTTAATTCCTAGTAAACTATTTCCTTGTTTTTCTGACTGTAACATATTACTGGCAATTCTGTTAAAGTCAAAATAATGGTACCAATACTTCAAAGATATTTGTTAGATCTGAGTCCTACCTGCAAACACGATTCAGCCATTTTAATGCAGGGACTGATTGAATCCATGATTAATGCCATATAAAAACTTGTCAGTTAAAAGGCAACAAATTAACCAGTTTTCCTGGTTTCTACTGGGATAGAGTTCATGAATACCGGTGTATAAAAATGCATAAGCAAAAACCAAAAGAAGATCTCTTGTGATGAGAAATGAAGAATTGCAAATGGTCCAAGAACATGCTTATCACTTCTATAGTAAATTATCTAGTGTTTATGTGTGTTTTGAGAAGTCTACAGAGAATAGATCTAGACCAAAGAAGGAACCTAAATAAGCAGGTTTTAGTGGGGTTTTTTTTTCAAGGTCAGGGTTTTTCCTGGGTTTTATTTCAGCAAAAATTGAAACAGATGTCTCAGGCCTCAGATATCAAAACTTTAAATTTTATGCATGAGCTCACAAATAGTAAACTTGAAATTTTGTTTGGATGGATCATTAAGTGAGATTGCAAAATATCAAAATGATTATGCAAGTTAAATAACAAGACAATTTGCATGTAAGGACAAATTTGATTTTACCAATATAAGGTCTTAAATCATGCAGATATGCAGAAAGCTGTCCTGCTGCAAAAGCTAGTGCCTTTTTTTAAACTGTGGCTACATTGCTCAACCAGTAGAGAACACATCCTTTCATGTGCTGTCTGTGGTTTATAAAGGCATCTGGACCTACTAACTTTTTCAGAATTGGCTGTTCTGTTCATGGAATAAGACAGATTCTGAAATGTACTTCTGCCAACCTCAGCCTGCAGAGCAATTAAAATCAGGAAAAAAAAGAATGTTCATCGAAGCAAAGCTATTATACAAATTCACAAGAGGATGGGGCATGCTTTATAGTTCTAGGTACACTTTTATACAGTTAGACCTCATGGTAGCAGTCTAGATATTTTTACACACTTACAAGATGTATTTTACAAATCCTGTGTTCTGCTTTCTTTATTAATTATTCAAAAATCCTTTAGACTATGAAGATTCTCCTCAGGTTTGATATACACAAGGCTGAACGACATTCAGACAGAGCTTTTGAGTTATTCTGCTCAGTACCGAAAGTAACTATTCAATGTGTATTTGTGATACATATATTCTTCATATTGCACTTAAGGTGAGATTAGGGTCCTTGTTGGAATAGAATTCCTAGCATTTCTTAAAAACATTAATTTTTTACTGAAAATCCCTGTTAATTTACCCAGAAATATTCTATCCATATTCTTTCCTTAATAGTAGTGTTGTTTTCTCTGAATTAGTTTTAATTAATTGCTTGATTTTAAGCATGTATGTAGTTCCACTGAGGTCAAAGTGAAGTACTTGTATATACTGGAAATAGTTATGTGTCAGTCTTGGCTTCTGAACATATTTTTTAAGCATGTTGTTGTTCAATATCTCAGGAACTTTTTTAGATATTATTTATCCTTTGTAGCTTTAGGTAAAAAATGGCCACTGTGCTAGTTTCTCTTTCCTTATTGTCATGAATTGCATCCATTTTTCTTCATGAAAAACAAGCTTACTATATTCTGTGGAGCCTTATTCCTATCTGCATATATTAAAAAGAGACAGATTTTTTTTAGAGACTATGTCTAGATCTGATATCTGTAGAATTAAGCAGTTGGTATGTGTTTTAAAACGATGGAGATGATCTCAAACTGTACTGATCTTGCCCATTTTAATTACTGTGTAGAAGTTCTCAGCCATGCTGACTGCTATTTCAGTGCTGCAAACAGCTGAAATATAAATTCAGAGTTGCAAACTGTGAATTAGGATAGTTTCAAAAATGCCCATCAAGTTTGCACAGCAGGCTTAACAAGAGTTGCTAAAGTAGCCGAACTTTTACTTCTTGTAGACAATACTCATTGGTATCCAGCTGGATAGCAGCTGGTTAGTGTGTATCATCACAAATCCTCTCTTGTTTAGTTAGTGGAAAATCCAGTGGCCACACTAATGAATTATTTCAAAAGCAGGAATTAGAATTTTCATTTAGCTTGCTGAAATACTAGGGAATGGGCAAATTTCATTCTCTAGGAAGTCATTTTGTTCCAAAGGAGAGTGTATTAATACTCTGTAAAGTGAATTACCTGATGTGCTGTGTTGTGTGTGTGCAGAAAATCACAGTTTGATTTTATTTGGAAGCTTCTTTTCTGGAAAATTCTTTTGCTCCCAAGTTCAATAGAAAAATGAACTTTTTCAATTTTGTGTTGGCTTGGTTTTTCTATTCCTTACCAGAAAGCAGGTAATTCAGATGCCTTCAAATTCTTGCTTTGCAAAACTGTAGATTTTAGCACATCATTGGTTTGTTCATGGAACTCAAGGACACATTTCAGTGTAGGAGACAGAAGCTTGGAGGATAGCATTCCTATTAACATAAGTAGGGCTTACGGGTTGTGTGATCATTGTGACATTGAAGCATTCCCAGATGTGCCCTTGAATCTCCGTGTGCTGCCAGCTGGCACTGCTGAGTGCTGGTGAGCATCCAGCCCTCTTCTGCTGTTTTCAAGCAGGACCCCTTAAAAAAGGAGACAGTTACAGAGAGAGGCTGCTTTCTACCCAAATTCTCGCTACCTGCTGTGCAGCAAGAAGTTTGTCCTCCTGGACACTTAGTAGACACAGTAGACGCAGGATCCCACTTATCCATGACATTTCCCATTATAGCAAATGTGGCCAAATCTGACCCAGAACCTTCTTATCTGAAAAGAGGTAAACAAAATGGAGATTCAGAAAACCATGGCAGAATTTTCTTCTCTCGACTCTTAGTAAATTCATTTGGTCTCTTTCAAGTGTAGTAAATGTTGCTACTCCATTTTCCAAACTCCAAAGTAGCACAAGAACCAGATGTTTTGATTAAAATTTGCTCTAAGCAATTCTAACTCTTTTTTTTTCTTTTTATCCTATTCCCTGACATTTATGCTTAGCAGATTTTTTATAAGATCTTTGTTTCACTTTGTTTCACTGTATTTTAACTTTCTGCAGTACTTTTCTCTGAAACTCCTAGTTTCTCTACAGTTTTGAGCAACATATTTTGACAGATACTAAGCTATTTGTTAAGTGTGCCTTAATTTGCTAAGAGTCATATCTCTGTCTTCCCTCTCAGTCTTAGTATAGGTTGATTGTGTGTAGATATCTGAAAATATAATGAAAGTACATATATATGGATTTTGAGAATTTATTATGAAAGTACCACGTAACCAGTATATATGACTAATATTTTACAGCAACTATAACTGGAAAGTAGTTTCTTTAAATAATACAGTAAACATCATTAGAAAAGCTGCTACTTGTCATAGCTGGCAGGGTTGGGACTTTTTTTGAGCTTTTGATTAGAAAATTAACAAGACTAGTTGATTTGGTGATTTTTAGCTCATTTGACTTACTGCTGCATCTTTTAATTATATTAGGACTAGATATTAAAACAAGCAAGTGTAACTTGTGCTGCTGTCTGAGGCCTCCCACTTAGCTGCCCGATCCCTGAAAGTTACCTAGTATGCGTTGTGATAGGAATTCTGATTTTACACACTTGTGTGAGACCTGTATTAAAACCAATAGATTTTGTTTTAAAATAAGTGGTGAGACTGAGATATTTTTTTCATGTAGTTTCATAAGCTTAAGCTATTCTATTACTGATATATGTTTCTTTGATTTCTAAATGCTTTCACTTTCCAGTGCTGCAGGCCTGCTTGCAACTGATCGCTGACAGCAAAAGTGATATCCAACAGAAAGGTAAGAGTATGTTCCATAATTTGTAGCTAACTATTCCTTGGATTAACTGTTTCAACAAATTTTGTCCAACTTCAAAGCAGTAACTGAGTTTTGCCAGTTTATTTAAAAATAATTTTAAAAATCCCACCACCACCAAACAAACAAATCAAAAAACAAACAACAAAGAGGTCCCTGCATCTGAATAGCTCTTGCAAATAGCATCTTTTCGGTGGGGAGATCCAGCTAGTGAGACTGGAAGTCTTGACTAGAAATCAGCTTTGTTAATTTTTGTCAGGCGAAAATGAAGAGATAATTTTTCTTTTTGATTACCCAAAATTATTGTTTCTTTTAGATGATTCAAGCATTGTCCCTTGGCTTCTGAGCTTTAAACGGGGAACAGCTCTGGAAGAACAAGGAAATAAAATAGTGATCAAGGAAACAGGTTATTTTTTCATATATGGCCAGGTGAGAAAGCTCAATTCACTTCAACATCTGACTTTTGCAAGGGTTTTTTAATGCCTCCATACAATGAGTTTGAAGTCTACCTCTTCTTTCTGCAGGTTTTATATACAGATACAACATTTGCTATGGGACACCTAATACAGAGGAAGAAGGCTCACGTGTTTGGTGATGATCTCAGCTTGGTCACATTGTTTCGTTGCATCCAAAATATGCCACAGTCTTATCCAAATAATTCTTGCTATACTGCTGGTAAATACCTACATTTTCCTTTTCTTTGTTTGCAAATAAACTGTGTCAAATAGAATCTGTAGCGTTGGGTGATTGAAGAACTGGGACTGCATTCGTGGATCTGGTTAACTGCAAAATTACAGAATATTTTCAAAAAATATAGTTTTATATATAAAGTATCAGCAATCAGAGGGTATGTATCTAACTTGGTGATCTGAACAGCTTCATTCTTTCCATGGACTCTGTAATGTGGCTGGATACTTTGGTGCTTTCGGGTAGATGCCTGAAGCAGATAAAAGGAGTACATACTGTCCTTATTAAAGAACTCAGTTTCACTTAGGAGTTGAATTCCACATTTAGTTATCCCAATAAAATATTTAGGAGCTATGTTCTGCCTTAAAATGTCATATATAAATTTTATCCATCCAATCTTTGCATACCTTACTGTAGTATTTCTACTCCTTATAATGGCTATTGCATTTTTAATCTTTGGTTAGATGAAAAATTGTTAATTCCTGTAAGGTGCTCTTTATGTCTTCACAAATTAGAAACATCACGAGAAAGACCAATTAAAATATTTAATGCAAGTCCAGCAGGCTCAAAGATCAATATACATGCATATTCCTGCAGTAGCATTTAAGGAATTAGTGTCAAGGCCTATAAAACCTCATTTGTCAGCTCTTATCTGTCTTTTCACCTTAATGGTGGATTTGAGGGTCTCCAATTATTTTCCAGCAACATCTTTTTTTTCAATGCTTTATGAAAAAGTGGTGACACTGAGTTGACTGTTGGCAAGTAATGGCATTAAACAAATAATATGCAGCACAAAGTTAATTTTTTCCAAATAGATAAATACTTTGTCCTGGCAATTGAGGCTCTTCAAACATTTCCTTTAATTTTCTGCCCCTTTACATGTACATTCTGGCATCATAACCACTTTCACTTTCTTCTATGCTCTTATTTTACCCTTATATTACTTCTGCCCTTTCTTAACTAGGATCTCTGCTCTATCCTGCCACTTCACGGTTCTTGCTTCCCAAATTCCTACTGTTCCTTTTTCACCTGGAAAAACAGTTCTCACTGCTATCTTTTGTGCTGTTGAGCATGCCTTGCAGCAGATGTTAGATATGTTCTCAGCTCAGTGGCTGCAGCTTGAAGGGGAGATGCTTTCAGTTATCATATCAGCTGATGTGCAGCTGGCAGTAAGCAGACTTTTGTGCTCTGCAGTTGCAATGGATCAGCTGATGTCTGGTAACTTCATTAGATTGGTAAAGCTCATGAAACCTCCTCCAGAAGTGTGGGAATGGAGTGGTCTAGGACCAGTAATACTCGGTGCTGACCTTGCCTACCACAACACCATAACACGAGGAATCTGAGTACACCACTGATATAAATTTCTGGAACGTTTGCTTAAATTAACTGTGCTGAGTGCAGAGTGGAAATTAAGTCCAGCTTCATAGAGGATGTTAAGTGTCAGCTTTGGATAGGCTGTAAACTCTTAGTTTGTGCCTAAAGGTAAAAAAACACTCATCACATATAACAAGCCATGCTTACATTTGCGAGATAACACATAATGACTTTTTGAATACTATTTATGAAAATAATGTATTTGAAATATTAACTTAAAAATATTCCAAATCCTTTTCCAGGCATTGCAAAATTAGAAGAAGGAGATGAACTTCAACTTACAATACCACGGAGAAGGGCCAAAATATCCTTGGATGGAGATGGTACTTTTTTTGGTGCAGTAAGACTCCTCTGAAGCCCTTAATTTCTGTTATTATACTTAATGGAAATTTATTCTTTTCCTATGCCTTTGTCATAAAAATACTGAGTTGTAATAAAGCTGCCAATTCAGTCTCTCCCCAGCCAGCACCAACTTCTGAGAACTTTTCTTCACTTTTATAAGCAAACCCAGAACAGGAAACAAACCAGACAAACTTGTGATATAACCACCATGTGATTACCAGAAAGCCAATTTATTTCAGACAATGGGCAACTCTAGATAACAACTGTAAAGCAGTGAGTTTTTGGCTTTGAAACAATGTATTGTCCATAAGAAAAAAAAAAGGATGGAGTTGATATAAATAACAGCATGACCAGGACCATAGACTATCAAATTATTATCCATAATTGAAAAGGAAAACTAAAATACATGTTAGATTTTCATTATTTCATCAATAAAATATTTGAAGTATGAAGGATGGGAAAGAAACATCATACAGTAGATTCCTTATCACAAAATGGAGATGTTAGGTGGGTTCTGAGTTTTGTTTTTCTTTTTTTCTTTGACACAAAGATTTTGGGGAAAGAAAAAATCTAAATGTATGGAATAATGTAAACAAATATACAGAATAGTAGCCACTGTCTTGCTTCTTCCCTGTGAACAAGAGATTTACTAAAATCTATTAGTATTTACTAATTAGAATTAATTTTAGTGGAAAAAGGACATGTAAGATGCTTCAACAGCTCAATCTTCAAAGCATTGCTACTCATCAAGGAATATGTGTACAATTCTATGTAAACAAGGCAGGAACAGAAAGAAATGCAGTGAAATTAGACACATTACAGTAGGTGGAATTGGATTTCTGGCTTCATCATTTCTGCAGTCATATACAGATGTGTATATATACATTATATAGATGTATTTGTATATATATGAATGTATGTACACACGCATATGTCTTGGACATTTGAACACAGATAAAAGATAAAATTTAAATAGATAAAAGATAAAATTTTATCTTCTTTTGAATAGTTTATCCAATGGAAATATTACTTCATACATATTTCTTGTATTTCTCTCGCGCCTTGCTATGATCCCTTCTATGCAACTTCGTAAAAAATAAAGTCCAATAGACCTGGAACCAGCCATGCAGTTAAGAAAACACATTTGTATCCGAGAAATCTGGGCTCAATCCTAGGTTAACTATAGGCTTTTTCTGCAGTTTTGAATATATTGCTCAATGCTGTTTCACCAAAATAATCAGACCTGTAGAAAAACTGAACAAGACATCCCTTTTCCTTTTCTTTTGTCTCCTTTGTTCAATAGATAGGATTTATGTCTTTTTTTACCCCAAATATTGCATGATCAAGATAATAGAGTGGTAATAGTGTGGGCAAGACTTCTAGTAGCTATTGTAATACAAACATTGAGTACTTGTTCCACTGATATTTAAAGAATATTAAAGTGCTGTTGGAATAGATAAAATAATAACACCTCCCCTGTACTGTACTTCACTTGAAATTTTTTTTAGGATTTGAGAATTGTGTTATGTAAGTTTATTTAGTAAAGAAAAGATGCTTTGTATATTGCAGTCTCTTTGTCTGTTTTTATAAACCGTGATTTGATTGAGTTCTCAGGGTGATAGACAATTAATAAAAGAGTTTTGGAGCTAAGAATTATAGAGCATGGTAAACTAATGCAACAATTAATTCAACTTCTCTGGGCTTCAGGAAGACATTTGTGTATTGCATATGTGTACTGGATTACTACACTGGGATTTTTATGAGGCTTAACTACAGTCTCAAAATGTCTGAACTCCTCCCTTTTCAAATTTATTTATTTATGTGTTGTGGATCTGAAGCTTCTGCTTATTATTGTTGTTGTCATTGTTACTATTATTATCAAATTTTGATGTGCTAACTTTGCCAAAAAGGCATTTTAAGTCCTCTACAGAAACCCTCAGTTTACCCAAGGTTGCGTGACTCTGAATGTGGGTAGACCAACTATTAGCATGCAGTGAGTTGACTGTTATTACTGACATATATTAATGATGCCCAGAATCCATAATCAGAAGTTTGTTGATTTTAGCGTTGTCTGATTATGGAAAAAAACCCTGTTGTTAGTGTTGCTTTCACAGAGACTTGGTGGCTAAACTTGCAAATTTAAATTTCCGTGCATAAGCTTCCCCAGTGGTTTCAGTGGGCTTGTGTGTGCTAACCTTAACTTAATCCCTGGCCGTATTTCTTCCTTCTGCTGCTGACAAACGTGCACACTACAGAACTTTGGAAAAGGTTTGGGGTGTCATTTGGCTTGGAGTAAAACTTTTTTCTAAGAAAATATTTCAAAGGTGTTCCCTTCCTTAGCAGGATGAAACTGAACCTCAGGTTACTCCACAAAAAATGGGAACCATGTTTTTGTGAACCAGGAGAACTCCCACATGTGTGCAGAGAGTGCAAGTCAACAGACTGTTCACATATTTCTACTGACATGTCTGGCAATTTTGTTGCTGTCAACGAAATTGTAGCTTTGAGCTGGCTTCATGAGAAGACTTCTCAAAATTAATCTGCTTCTGCACAAAGTTGAGTTTTAACAGATCAGCATTTTCTGATCAAAGCAGGAAGAAAAGATGAATATCTCATTCCTGATTGTTCTGATAACAAACTGGTGATACAGGAGGTAGCAAAGTGCATCCAGACCACCATCACACTTCTGTTTCAGTTGCTGGGAGTTAACAAAGTTTTCTGCATAGGGTAGATGTTATTTGAATAAGTGTGATGGGTAATAAGTAGTATCTAGGTGAGTCATATGATATTTTGCGTTCGTATCAAGGATATCTAGTATTTAAGACAGGTTTCTGCAAATACAACACACTGAGTGAATACTCTGGTTCTTCTTCATGTGGTCTTAAGCAGCAGCATGGCAAACATAAGGGACTTTTTTTTTCCAGTACATTTTTACAGAACGTGTGAGCTTGTATCATTCTTTCCTTTCTAATAATGGGCAGTTGGCAGATATATAGCTGCTTTGAATATAATGTATTTAATATATTTTTTATCTTAAGAATTAAAATATCTCTGTTACATAATGTGCAGTCATACACCTTGCCAACATACAGAGTATATTCATTACATAGCTCTCCTGCATCTGACTGTTTCTCAGATTGCTCAGCATTTGCCACTGTAAGACTTTAACTTCAGTTGTCCCTTAGTTTTGCCAAGCTTTTACCACTGGAGTTGATATTTTCTGTATCTCTGGCTTATGACTTAGATTGAATTGTCTTGCGTAACTTCAGCCTTCAGTGTTTTACTCTTCTAAAGATGAAGTTGTGAAAAAATACATTGTTTGGATTTTGTTTTAACAATTTGCCTACTTTTTCTTTGGAAAGGTCTAGAGAATCTATGCTTTGAAAGAAGAAATGTGTGTAATGTGGGTTTTGCTTTGTTTTAAGCAGGGGTTTTTTCTTTGTTCCTCTCTTTCTTCTGCACTCATACTTTGACAAGGTGTATGCTTTTGAAGAATATTTTATTCTTTTTCAAGTTAAGCATATTCTGTCCCTGTAGAACTTTCAAAGGGGAGAGGAAAATGTTCCCAGAAGTTTTCTGTCCTGGCTGGTCATGGATTACCACCACCGGTAAGATCTAAGGTTGTTTTTCAAGGTCAGTCCAAGCAGCATGAGAAGGAAGCTGATGAAAACAAAGGGAAGAGAAAAGCTAAATGTTTGATGTAGAAAGGATCTCATCGAGTTTGCACATTACATAGAGCTTAAGGGGGATGGGGAAAACAAACCAGATTTGGAGCTGCACTGCAGAAACTGGAGAGATCCTAACTAGGATTTAATTGCTTGTGAGGTGGGGAGAAATGTGACAGCATGAAAAAGGCTGCCTAACCTCACCTAATCCCCAGGCTTGTCACAGCCAAAGACAGCAGCTTTGTGGGAAAGGGACAGGGGTTCCTGGGGGAAAGCAAGCTAAACACAAATCCACAGCGAGCCCTGTCAGAGGCAAAGGCTAACAGCATGCTGCACTGTATCAGCAGGAGTGTCACCTGCTGATTAAGGGAAGAGGTTATTCCCCTTTTATTGGGGGTGGTTGGGATAAAGCACATCCCTGTCCTATGAGGAGAGGCTGAGGGAAATGAGTTTGTCCATCCCGGAGAAGAGGCTTGGGGGTCCTAATAAGAATCTTCTAATACCAGTTAGAAAGCTGTCAAGGAAACAGAAACATATCCTTTGAGAGGGTCACAGTGGTGTGAGAAGGCACAATGGGCACAAATCAAACTAGGAAATTTGTACTTGGCATAAGAAAAAAAACTTGTTACCATGGTGTCATGACCCATTTGAATCTTTCAAATTTACAGGTCTACGTACTCTCTAAATTAAACTTCATCTTATGAGCTCATTAGGAAAGAAAACAAACATGACAAACAGGGATTCAATTCACTTTGTACAGACTACTCTAACATGAATTCACTAATTAATCACTTAAGTCATGAGGTTTCTAACTCACAGGCTTTCTAATCCATAACTCACAACTCATAAGTTGTAACTCATGCACCTATGAGCAGAACAGTTACCTAGATGATGGGGAGAGTGCTCATCCTTCCTCCTCTGCCACAGCACAGGTGTCCCCATGAGGACAGTCAATCACTGCAGCATGTTATCCAGAGGGGCTGCGAAAAATCTGTTCATACAGATTTTCAGCACTTTATTGGATCAATCCCTGAGCAGTGTAGTCTGAATTCAGTGTTGATCCAGCTTTGAGCAGAATGAAGTACAGACTTCCTAAATAATCCCTTTCCCTTGGCTGATTCTATGGTAACAAACCAGAAGATGTGCAGGGCAGAGAAAGGACTGGAAGAGGTGGGTCAGAAAGGGTCCTGCTGCAAAAGGAAGGGTGTTCATTTCCTGAGTGCAAATGAAACATGAGTTCCTCAGTGTGTGCCTCAATAGGATCAGCAAGCATTTATGTACTGCACAGGGCAGGTTCCAGTTAAGCACAGCAAGGTGCTAGTAGTCATCAGGTACTGCATGACCTCAAATCTAAGAGTGTAAATTGAATCAAACCATGTGGCCAAGTAATAATCTTGATTCACTCACTTGCAAGTTTCATTTGACTTTTTTTTTGCTGCTCCCCACCAATTCAGTCAGTGGATAGAAGATACTTCATCCTGTGGGAAATGGGATATTGATGTAAAATGTTTTAAGCTGAAGCCCAGACTAAATTTCAGAAATACTGGAAGGAAGTAGTAAATGTGGTAGAACATGAAAAAAGAGAAATTACGATGTCCTGTTTAGACAGAATTGTATTCCCTTTCTGTCTGTGAGAGCTGTCTGAAAAGTCATGTTTATTTTTGCCCGAATGTTGATTTTTTTTTTCTTTCTTTAAACCTGGAGTTGTTTCAGTTTTGACTTAAAACCATTTCTACCAAAACTTTGTTTGCAAATCTACAGATCCTATCTCTAATCCTGATGAATGTTAGTTATTCCAATGGCTGCAGGAAATCCTGTCTCACAAAGTGTGTGTGAGTTCTCCTTCCCAACTGAGCTCAGGGTACTTGTCTTCCAGAGCTTCTTAAGCTAGGGAAGAGTCTTGATGAGCTCCTTTGCATCTGAAAATTGCCACTTTCAGTTTCCCTGGCTTAGTAGCCAACAGTGCTTTTGGAAGTCTAAGCTGAGTTCCCCCGGACATCATTTTAAGTTTCGTAACAGTTTGTTCAGTCTGAAATATTTTAAACAGAACATGCTGGGCTATACAAACTGTGGTTTTGACAAAGCTCTGTTTTGTTTGAGAATTTCCAACTGCCCTAGTCTTTATTATAGAGTTCCTTAAACCCGATTCTTCACAGGTGGTCACTCAGTGAATGTTCCTCATTCTCTGGCTGACTGACTGATGTCCTTTGTGGTCTCATCTGCAGAAGTGTTGAAACTCACAGCTGCAAATGAAATTAGCAGGAATGTGTTTTGAATATTTGAGGGGCTGTGTAATTCTGCTTAGAAATACTACAGCAACAAATATTCTGAAAAAGCCCTGGGGGAAATAAATTCTAATCTGGAGGCAAACATAATCGTGAGCAATCAGCCAAGAGACATGCTTTGGAAAAAAATGCGAGGAAAAGTTCTCAAATCATTGCCTGGGTGCTGGAAATTGTATGTGTTGAGTGTGATAGGGATCTTAATTGGAAGGGCTATGTGAGAGTATATAAAGTAACTTCTGTTACAGGTAGTAGGACAGATTACAAAGACAATTTTGGCCATCTTCACTGTAAGCATTTAGCTTTCCATTGGAAGATTCAGTGGGGGTTGGAGACAGAGGACATCCAGGGGCCTGTTCCTATTTCCTATACTAAAAGGGAAGCTCCACTCCCTGCAAAGCTCATAGAAACTGCTCCATGTAGCTGTGCAAGGAGTATTAACAGTTCTACCTGTGCTTAGAAAGTGTTTGTCTTGACATTAGGGAACTAGAAAACAACCACTTTGTAGTTCCTGACACCACTGGAGAGCAAACCTAGCACTTTTAAAGCAGGAAGAATAAGGGGGAAACTTTTGTCAGATGATGGCAGATAAGCAGTATCTGGTGGTAAACTGCTGTCTCAGGGTTTCTTACCTAGTTTTGTTTGTCCTCAGAATTGGAAGGTCACAAGAATGACAAAGATTGGAAAATCTCTACGAGTCTGTTTTGCAAAAATAATTGTGTTGATTTTTTTTTCCTTCAAAGAGTAGATTTACCACCTGCCGCCAGCCCAAGAAGGGGACAGTAAGAGCAAAGTGAGTGGATGGGGTGAAGTGCACAGTGGATGTTGTGGCAGGCAGGAGAGGTAGCTGAGATGTAGCTGTGTGGGAGGGGTGTGTAA